TCTTGCTCTACATTATTGTCATCTATACGTTTGATAAGAATAGTACACTTGTATGATTTATCAGTTTCCTTTGTGAAATACTTTGCGAATTGTTCCAATTTGTGTAACAGTCTTGATAATTGTACAGATGAATTCTGGGTAGATTTGGGCGCGCCTCAGAATCGTAGTGTGAGCGGTATCGGAGCGAAATTGGAGAGACAGAGCGACTGCTCCAGCCTTAATTAAAAAACCGCTTCGCGCTCTGACCAAATTCAGCCGGCTCCGCTCCTCGCTCACGCTCCGCTCCACTTTTAAATCAATGAATAAGCCATTGTGCCAAATATAAGTCTTTTTAAAACTTTTTTCTGGTGCGATATTCGCAATATATAATGGAAATTTCTCAATTGTACCTGTTTAGACTGTTTAACTGCTAAAAAACATTAGTATTAATGTGGTCTTTATTTAGTGCTATTCAATCCAGTCTGATTTTCAGAGATATGCATCACAACTTGAACAATTAAAATCATTGCACATCAGGTACATACACAGACATGAAACCCCCCCAAAAACAATGACTAGCGCCTGAAGTAGTATTCCTGTTACAATGTATCATTTATCAATTTCAGAAGTTTCGACACTATTTACAAGCAGTGAAAGTGTAATATACTGTAATGTTACATTTTGGAACCTGCAAGCAAAACTGCACTTCTGCTAATCCCAGCTGCAGTACTTGAAGAGAGAGCTTTTTCTCTCCAGCCAAAAGGAGCAGGATTCTGGTGTAGTAGGTCTATAATTATTGGGTGAGTAGGGTGTTACTAGACATGTGCATGCGAGCTGAAACTTGCAAAAAGCCTATGTATCCAGTCCTCTTCTAACTGCTTACGATGATTCACGCAGAACATGCCAACTCCACCTAAACGGAACGGAAATGGGACTCGATGCTGGAGGTATGAGGCAAGAGCACTACGGGTCCACTGAGTCATTCTGTCACCCAACATATAAACTGCATAATTAATGCTTTAATAAAAGAACAAAAGACATCCATGTGAGGTTTGAGAAGAATACTTAAATCAAAGTAATACGTGTAAAATCAATGTGTAAGACCTGCCAGCTCACGCCTTCTCTGGTTGCCGTTAATCCAGCTGCTGGAATCTCATTGGCTGTTTTATTTGTGATGCCGCCTGATATTTTCCCCATTTATAATGACTTTTCTGGGAACTTAGATACATGTAAAGGCATCTTCTCAGGTTAGGTGCACTAGAAATTCTTAGCACTTGCCTGTTTCATGTAAGGCATGTTGGAAGAAGGGAGCCTTATTGACTTCAGTCAGAAATGATAAAATATATCTCTAAACTCCAGATTGTTATACAAACGCTTCCGGGTTACAATGGGATTACGTTCCGATAAACTTCTCATAAGGCAAAAATGCATTTTAATACAGTATACCTAACCTAACAAACGTCATAGCCTACCCTACCTTAAACATGCTTAGAACACTTAGCCTACAAAAATCATTAACGCAAAGCCTATTTTATAATAAAGTGTTGAACATCTCATATATTTTATCGAATAATCATATCCATCGTAAAGTCGAAATACTGTAACATGGACCATCGTAACCAGGGGAGCGTTTGTATATATAACCACTGACTGACGTTTTCATGAGACAATATCCTGAAACTAGTGGCCAACAAGCTGTCTCTATTTCGATACTGTCTCTGAATTTATATCTTCTTTCCACGAAACAGTATATGTACCATAATGCATCATTCATAATGCATAACTTCCTCACTGCAGCCACTTAGACACAAGGTTAATATCACTTTGTGAATGTACCTACATTCTAGGCTTCTGACAGGGAATTTCCATGTCGTGTCTGTGAGAGACCACAAAAGGAATGGCTTAATTTTTTGCAACCACACTGAACTAAACTTTAGAGCCACTTTGGTTTGTCTCTCCCTGGAACCATTGACTCTCGTCATATATCTCAGTACTTCATCTCTCTCTCACCCACCACAGAATTACTGTTATGCCACAAAACTGGTTCAAGTTTAAGACTTACTTTTTATAATGCTATTAGGTGATGGAGGTTCAAAGATTCATAGTCTTGTGCAAATTACATTTAATTTTTTATCTACATAAAAAAAAAGATTCCACAGTTTCATAGAGTTTCATAAAATTTATATTAATAGGCAGAACAATTTCACTTGGACTTTGGAACACAGTGCATATGTGTGCTAAGGACAAAGATACAATGTGATTTCTGTTTGAGGGTGGTTGCTAATTACTGAAACACTACGCTGATTCTACACTGCAATTGAAAAGCACAATAAAACAATAAAAGGAAGGCAATGTCTACAACAACAAACTCAATATTTCAGTTGAAAAGGCCTGAGGCCAAGCTCCTATGAAGACAATGCGACAGTCCACAAACAAGCTTAGCTACACCCCTGCACTTCCTATCACACGCTGACAAAAAATATCACATGACTGAAGATAGTGGGTATCCATTTGTATCCCACCCCTTGACATGAGAATAAGGAGTAACAGGGACTGAAGACCCACAGCTGCTTGTGTTGAGCTATTGTCCAAAACCCATCAATGGACAACATGCACCATCGCTGTTCTGATCGTTGTTGGAAAAAGTCAAGCAGAGCTGTCACTGGCAGGTGTCTATATCACGAAATGGGATTGTTTTTGGTTAGCTAGATAACTCAAATTTACGGTAGCCCAATGTAGCTGGACTTTGTCTTCAGTCTTTTACATTCAGCCCGGACGACCTTAAATTCAACAAGTTATCTTGCTAACCTCCCCCCCCCCCCCTAAAAAAAACAGCTCAGTGATACAGGCCCCATGTTAGTTAGTAGAGTAGTGCAATCGACACTAGTGTGATAGCCTAGATGGACCTGGATAGATACATGGGTCCTGGGTCCAGACTCAAGGGCAGGGAGCAAAATGCAGTCAGAATTAGGGTTACATTTAAAACAAAAACTAAGTTCCAAGCACCAGAAGTGATAAATACTTAAAGACCCAGAAATTGGGGAACAGAGATTTTCTACATTTGCATGTTACTCACTTAACATTTACTAAAAATACATTCAATATTCTTTGCTAAAAAGTAACTTTATTAGCAGGGAAATGTCATATCTTTGATTAATCAAAGTAACCTCCTCTAGCAGTTATAACAGCAGAAAAAATTCAAGGCATTCTTTCTACAAGGGACATTAAGTACTGCTCTGTGTCATGGGAAGAAACAGTTAACTAGTGCATTTAAAGTTAAATGACAGGCTAGAATTTGACTACGCCATAATTGCACAATCAGTTAATATGATGTCAGACATGCACTGTTACATACTCTTTAGATGTTATAAAGGAAACATGTTTTATTTGACTTATATTTTCATCTATAATTGTTCACTCAACTTTCCAGTGCTTAACAAGGATAAAAAATATCAAATAAAAGGAAAAGTGGTAAAAACCTGTGGTGTGCAGAAAACTTTTGACTGGTAGCTTAGAAAGAAATCAACAAACGAAGGCCGTACTTAATCTCTATCTGACAATCAGTTCCTTACGGGCAGAAAATGCAGAGATGAGACCATTTTAAAAGTCATTCAATGGAATGTTTACTATGTTGAACTCATCACTTATGGGTACAGAAGTTTGTGCTCATCCAGGCCTCATTAATGCAATTCTGGAGGGAAAGACAGACGTGGAACTTAGCGTAAATATGGGGCCGTGAGGTTTGGTGGTTCAGTGAGAAGACACGGTTTATTGAGATACCACATACCAAGAATGCACTGCACATACCATGTCTGTTAGACACTTCAAAAATTCATGTAATTAAAGTAGTATATATTACAGCCTGTGTAGTACATTACAGCCTTCTACATGATGGTGATTTTTAATTAACAAAGGGTGTGTTCCTGGAAGTTCCTTGGGTTCCAAAGCTCTTCAACAATTTTGATTGTGTTAATTACAATGACCCATGTATATACATGAACACACAACTCAAATGTTACATCTAGATTACCAACTAGTATCCATCCATCCATCCATCCATCAGTGGGTCATGGGGTATACCTAAACACCTTATAATTCATGTGCACAAATACATTACAGTCTTTAAGAGACTCCCACAATCACCAGGCTCCCTCAAAAATGAAGACAGCATGTCTGCTTGCAGGTCACACCCAAAGGCAGCTTTGAATTCCTAAAATACCCTAAAATCCCTCACATTCAAAGGCAGCTCCAGACCCAGCAGGGAAATTAAATGCAGCCTGGACAAACACAAGCCATAAACACTCACTCATCTGCTTCTTTAGCATTCTGTGCAAAACGCATGTTTTATAGCTCTTCCCTGCTTGTGGTGGAAATATTTGTTTGCAGATTTGATACGTATTCCGATTTTGAAAGTGATATTTTTTTTCACTTTTTTCCATGAAAGTTAAACTTACTTTGGCCGCTTCGCTTTGATACTACCGCTTTAGAGGCTGTTTACCGTAGAAGCTGTTTGCTGCTTTGCAGACGTAGCTGCGGGATTGTGGGTGTTTAATTATAAACTCGCCGCGGTGTGGGTAAAGATGCGCTGATATTACCCCTATATTTACCGCGCAGATCCTTCAGATACATGTCTAACTCTTCGTCTAATTTATAGTCCAGAGTTTCCCCAAACTTCGGATTTAATTTGGCAATGTGCTGCTGAAGTCTTTGCACGCTGATGGTAACACTGCACCATACAGGCGCATACCGGTGTGCAGCTGGGCGAAAGCAGACAGCCCAACTTCCCCCCCCCCAGCAACATCAGAGCAGCTCCCTGACATCCGCGAATAATGCGCAATGTCCCGGAAATCTGTCGTTACGCCAACCACCGGAGGTACCACCGCAACCCCGCCCCTTCCCTTCGGCAACTTTTACTGGTGCTCAGTGCCAGTGGCCTCCGTCAACAAACTTTTAATCCTCTCCCCCCTCCTCCAGCGGGTCGCAGGGACGGTTCCCGGGGGTGGGGAAGCCATGGAGTGCCCCCCCTCACAACATGTCTGCCCCCAAATAATAATGTATTATTTTATTTCATTTATGTCGGCTAAAATGCTGTGCCCTTGGAAAAGGGGAAACGTCTGCGCATTTTGGTGACGGACCCTTAACGCGCGTGCGCCGGGTGGTGAAGTTGCTTCAGTTTCTGAAAAGTAAAGTTAACGACAGAGAAGAAAAAAAAATCAAGTTAGTGGTATGCAAGACAGTCTAAAGAAATCAGAGTGAGTAAAATATTTGTGAAAACTGTAAAATGTGACTGCAAAGCATTGCATAAATAAAAAAATCATCTTTTGCTTCTTAATGCCGGCAATCTTGTGTAAGTACAACTTCGAGGACATTAAGGCCAAATGCATCCCCCCCCCCCCCCCCAACAGAACAACTGGCCCCAGTCTGTCCCCCCCTCAGTTGAAATGAACTACAGATCCACTGCCTGGTCAGCAAAGTTTATTGCCCCAGACAACCAACAATAATTATCTATTTTTTAATACGTCATACATTATATGGTATTGACAACGAATGTGACGAACATAACTTACTAGATGTACTCAGCCAGCTTCAGTTATTTCCTAAACACTTTCACTTTGCAATAAAACCGCTTCCAGATAATGTAATATCTAGCACAAAAGATATTTCACAAACTGACTAATTGCAAAGGTGGCATCCTATGACGATAGCACAATTAAATTCACTGAGCTCTTCAGAATGACCCATTCCTTCACAAATGTTTGTAAACCTGACTGCATGACTAGGTGCTTGATTTTATACACCTGTGACAATGGGTCTGAATGAAACACCTGTGATTCATGATTAAGAGGTGTGTCCCGAAACTTACATTGCTCATATAGTGTATGGCAAACTGAAACATACAGTGCTATTTCCAGATGTGTGTACATTATTGGTGGCAGTGTCCTTATAAATGGTATGATAACAAATAGCAGCACCATGCTCAAGTACCCACAGATGTGCTGAGGCTAGGTTTGAACCGGCAACCTTCTGAGTACAGGCACACAGGCTTAGCCCACTGAACCACACACCGAACCACACACTGCCCCATGATATAGGCCAGAGAAAATGAGAAAAGTTAGAGAAAATTTCTTGAAGCAAAAGTCCGGAAGATCAAATGATCATAATATATTTAACTATTTAGTGTAATATATATATTTAAATAGCCTTTTAGTTGTATCAACATTGCATGTAATCAGTACCTGACTGTCAAATCAAATTAATTCAGTAAAATTCAAAAACATTTTGACAAAATTTATTGTCGCGTGACATAGAACTTCGGCCAGCTGGCTGACAGTAACATTATTTTTAGAAGTTCATCAATTATTATTTTAAATCTAGGAGCTTGCATCACCCCTATGTGCAATATTTAACGTGACTGAAATGTGACTTTGATAAAATCAAAGATGTGACTGAGCTCGGCTTTTACGTCACCTTTCTGACTTCTGCATAAGCTGCTCTCTCACACTTGCCCCAGGTTCCCTGATCAGGCAGTTGTGTCTGCCCTGGGCTGGGCTCAGATCTGGCCTAACCTCATTTAAGCAGCACAGTGAGCAAAACTTGCTGCTTGGCTGTCATCACTGCTTTAGAATTATGGGGTGCAGACACTTCCTGTTATGAGGTTTTTTTATAGGCTTTGGTGATGCCCTGTATCTCTGTATCTGGGTAAAGATCTGTTTCCTCTTGTCTGTTAATTGAAAGCTGCAGTATATTGGCTTGGTGGTGTGCGTGGCATGCAGTTCATGGGCCTTGTGGACTGATATTTTGTCATGGTGATTCTGGTTAGCCAGTTTCTGAGTTGGGGATTCATGGTCTCAGCATCCCACAGCTGGTGTGCAGTGCTGCTGGTGCCCTGTCTTTGTGGGTTCTTAGAATTGGGTTTTGTGATTTTGCTCCTTTTAGGTTCCCAAGTCCCTAGTTTGGGTTCTCCAGTCTTCTGCAAATGGGTCTGCCTTCTGCTACATCTCATCCTGGAGGCTGTCCATCCAGTCGGCGGCCCAAGTCCTCCTGGTCTCTTGCTGACAGCAGTGTTGGGACTGTTGGTCTCGGGACAGAAGACCGGGCTTGATGGATGGGCAGCCCGGATTGAATTCTTCTGTCACAGACCAGGCTGTGTGAAAGCTAATGCTTTTCACTTGAAAGCCACTGCATCATGCTCAGTGTAGGGGGGAGGCCTAGACTCACAGCATAGGGCAGAGCTTTTCAAATCTGGCCCTCGAATCCAAATCCAGGCCTAGTTTTCAATTCCCGCATGTTTAATAATTATTGATTCTGACTGGCCACAGACGCTTCACACCAGGCTCACGGGTAAAGGAAGGCTGGGAAATGAAAAGTACTCGGCCCTTGAGGACCTTGACTTCAATAGCCCTGGCGTAGGTTACACTGTGGAAAGGATGGAACAACTATAGGCTATTGTCAATAAACCATTTGATGGACTAAAGGTTACACAGTATCAGGAATAATTAACATGTTTACACAAAAGCTTAAAATGCTAGACCCCTACTTTTTTGGTGACCAAAGCATTTGGGTTTGGGGGGGTATCTTTAACTACTGAAAGACTTATAATGAAATTGTGCCCCTATATTGCCTCAGTGATAACTTGAGGCAGAACCTTTGCAGCTTCTGACTCATAGAAGATAAGATATTGTTCTCCCTCTCATACTCATTGCTCTGGATCAGATATCGCACTGTATGCGCATTTTATAAGAGTAATGCAGCATGGTTACTCAGTAATAATTTGAAATTATAAAGGGCACAAACAAATGAACTGGAAACAAAGTCCTTATAACAGCTAAAGGGCACTGAGTATACCGGCACAACCAATGCGTCTACTGCAGTGCCAAAAGAAGCTTAAAAATGTCACCCAAAACAGGAAAAGTTTCACTTCCTGTGACAAAGATGAAGTGAAAATTGGGGCACATATAATGAACAGCATACAGTGTTTTAGTGTAGTTAACAACTCAGCTCCAGCTTATCATATTTGCAAAATAAAATGATAAAGGTGAGGATCTTTCTTTACTTTTTTTTCATTGACAAGCAGTCTCACTAGATACTTTTAACTTAAATTAATAACACCTCTGCAATAGGTGTTACTAATTTTTTTTCCCGGTAGCTGTGTTCCTCAGGTAGAATGCAGTGTTCAGTAGCGTTTGACAGGGATTTGACATGTTGAGATCCCATGAGGAAATACTGTCACATTCACGAACGATTTCACCTTTTGGGAGGAGGAGAATAAAACAAGAAAAATGTGAGTTGATACATTTGCACGCATCTGTGACTGGTGGTGCGTATCTAAAAATACACGCGTGGCTGGCTTCCAGCCCATCAGTCTGACAGAAGATCGCAATAATGTCAAACCTCAAGTGATATTTAGAACAATTGTAAACAACTGTTTATTGTGGCCTTCTTCCTTCTTAGACAGAACATTGCATCACATGCCCCAGAGACATCTACAAGACAGAGCTTGCTTCTGATGTAAACGTGTGGTCTTATGTGTATCCAAACGTGACAGACCAGGAAGTGAAGCAATCTCAAACACTTATGAAAACATGGGGAAAACTGCAACCCATATTGGCTCAACAGCATTTTATTCTTCAAGGCGGGATGAGTCCCGTAATGTCAGGGACGGGTGACAATTCTTCAGGTATTTCTTGTGGGGTCTTTACTGCTGGATGGGCTGTGCAATGCTGAGGCTGACGTTTTTGTTTATCTTTCTTTTCACAAGTCAGTGGATTCCGAGCTAAAGGTGCGAGAGGAAACAGAAGCAGGAATGGGAGCCTCCAGATAAGGACTCTCTGACAACACTGCACTTCCTGATCAGCACCGATGGGCTGGCTATCCGGGCAGCTCTCTCCATGGTCATCACTGTGTGCGTAGGAGAACTCGCGGTTCCACTGTCCGCTTCCTCCCCCTTACTTCTGGTTCCCCCCTTGTGGTCATGGTGCATTTAGCAAGAATATGTAACATCCATAAGGACAGAGCAAACAAGCGTAATTTCACATAATACTCGCAAAAAACTCATCCATTAAACTAGACTGGGCTGAGCAGGGACTTTCTAGCTATTTCTAACTAAAAACCAGAGGCTAAGTCAAGTTTACCTGGGGCTTGATTTTTTTATTTGCTTTTGAAGGAAGATTGGCATTGAGGCTAAAATATTCAGGGCTCGGTTTAAAATACTCAGGGCTATAGCCCCGAGTGATCGGACATAACGATGACCATGGGGCTGAGTACTTATTTTT